TACTTGGTTAACATATTCAAGGAATGAACGCCAAGTTATGAACTCGAACCGGGCGCGCTGTTGAACAAGAACATATGCTGCAAGTTATACCACAACGTATCTCAAGGAAAAGTGGCAAAACTCACTGTTCGCCTTAGCTTATGGGGTAATGGAAGCCTTGTCTCTGTAGGCGTTCAAGTGCTCTAAGGGTGATAAAATGCCAGCACCACCAAGAACCATTCGATTCCTACTCCTACCATGGAAAGTTGCGGTGATGCGAATGAATTTGAAAACAAGTCTCTAATACTGACGAACCAATGACCATGCTTTTGAATTGCTATATGCTATATTCACTGCATGGTTGACGCTTTCCTTGGCCCAGTAACATTTGGCTTCTCTTCGTGAAGTGGAGGTTGACAAGAGGAGGCAGCATGCTTCACTGCATGGGTGCTCCGCTAAAAGTCTAGTTATCTGAGTGATAACATCCAAGTTTTGCATGAGGGTTTAGGAACAAAACTCTTGCGCGAATGCATTTGCACTGCTTACCTCCAACAACAGGTTCCGCCAAAAATACCCTAAGCATGTTTGGGATACCTTCTTTTTTTTTAATTCCACACAAGTGGTTGCGAACTTCATGTCCCCTCCGATTCACTTTTTCAGTTTGCACCTCTGAGAAGAGGTCGATTCCTCAAAAGCATTTCACTTTGTGTGCGAGTGCAAACGGAATTTTAAACGTCCACTTTTTTCTCAAGCGCACCTAACTATTAGTTTTACAAAATTTACCGACTAAATGGAATCATTTAATCGGTGGTATAAGCTCAACTAAATGCCGAGCCGCAATGCGCTCCATTTTTCCCTTCAAGCTGTGCTCGACGCATACTCTGGGGTAGGGGGCTGGCGGGAGGATTTGGACGAGTAGAATTCAGCTTACGTTTTGGTGCGAAAGGTTAATCCCGTTTCTATGTTTGAAGAGCGTTCTCTTTTTTACATGAATTTTACTTGTTATCAAAGTACAAAAGACTTTGCAATCAATTGGTTTTTGCTTAAAGTCTCCGTGGGGACCAACAATTGAGACCAGCCTAGGACTGTCGAAGCGCGATTACAAAATGGATTTCTAATTGAGAATCTGTCTGAACCGTAGTTAGGGCAGTGATGAAAAAAAACAGTGTTCGAAGGATTCTCTCTTTACGCTACTAACTGATGGTTTCATCTATCTGACTAGCTTGTGTGTTGTTTCTACAGAACCGTCGAAATTACAACTGATTCACGTTAACCGGGCCACATGAGGCCTAGAGGGGTAGTTTCTTAGTCATTCGCAGACTCAGTGATCCGCAGAAAAGAGAAGAAAAAATTGCCGTTTCAAGTCAAGTCGGTAACACAAAAGGTAGGAACTTGCAAAAATGGGTGTATATCGACCTAAAAAGACCATTTGTGATAAACATACCTTATACATATCCCCAAAGTTTTCCGGGACCGGTGGTAAAAGAGGGCTTTTCATTTCGCATGTAGATATAGCATATTCATTGAATCACATACTTGAACAGAAACCAGATGTTAAAACTGATGGGAGACAAGTTTATTAATTATTAGGGGAGGGGGGTTGGCAAATTTAAATAATTCGGTTGACCCAGTTGTGAAAAACTCGCGGCTTCGGTGGAAGTCAAAAACACAGCAGAGAAGGCTTTTGCGCAGCCAACGCTCCATCGCTGAGCTACGAGGCTCACCGTGAGCCGTGACTTTAAACACATTTGGGTCGGTTTACCCGCCCAACCTAGTGATTTTATGGAATCCAAAATTGGGTTAGCTGAATTATTAATAGAATCTGCCAAACTCCCATGATAATTAAATTAGCCTAGTAGTCACTCTGGTGCATTTTAGAAGATTGCTTAGGAAATCCTGCCAGGACAGTCAGCTTGCTGTATCTGTAATGGTGGATCCCATACGATCAGTAGGTTGGGCGGATAAATCGACCCAAGTGTGATTAAATTCACGGCGCACGGCGAGCCTCGTAGCTCAGTCTTAGAGCGTTGGCTGCGCAAAGGCCTTCCTTGCCGTGTGGGTTCGCCTCCCACCGAGGCCGCAAATTTTTCACAATTGGGTCCACTGAAAGTTTATTAATACTACATTTCTGTTATGTCTATGTATCTGCCGTCTAGATAGTATTATTTATCTTGCTTTTCAACAGTTGTAGCGACTGCTTCCTAGTAGACTAAATGGCTATTCAAGTTTGCTACCGATACATGCAAAAGAAAGGCTTTTTACATCACTATTGTTCGTGGATAACAGACTTCTGGAGTTATATGAAATGATGGTGATACTAATGAACCATTCTTACTCCATTCACAAGGTAACCATTAACAGTGTTCTACTCTACGCACAACTTCATTCAGTGTCAGATTTTATGTCGCGACACTCAACTGTATGTTGCTTTAAATGTCGCGCGACCCAACTCGTCTGACTCGATTTGTGAAGAAATTTTCCATACACCCCCTCATTGTCCAGTAAGCGTTTAAAACAACCTACTAAGGGTCCTACTACCACCATGTTCTCTCCTGTTCGTTCACACTCAGACGCTACTTTGCGGTAGTTCCCTCAGTTGCATCGCCCTTTTGATTTTTTCACACATGACTTCATTATCTGGTGATGCGTAATGTTGAGCTGTGTTAACGCACCATGCGGGAAACGGTGTGTGCTGTGTTATTACGCAAGAAAATTTCGTCTGAACTCAAGTTTTGTCCGCCGTAAAAGTGGGTACCGTACTAATTCCCCCTGCTCTAGTTAAGCAAACACAGTCACCATGCATTGGAGCCCTGATTTCTCGGTCTCAGTGCCTGAACTACATACTCACAAGTCCTACGTGTTAGCTGATTACGGCGACCTGAGGGTGCACGTGGAATGTACCGGGCAATTCGAGTGCACTTATGGCGAGTAGAGCATATTGCTGTCTATCCTTAACGTGGGATAGCATTCTAGTTTTGACTCGTTTAGGCTTATTGACAATCCGCAACAAATTTGTACGCGCAAGCCTGATCTGCTTATTCTTGTCTACGTTTTGCTCAAATAGCAGCCAAAACAACTCACCAGAACCCGCCGTATTTTTCAACTGTTGTCCTGATTTGCATATTTTCAGTGTTTTGGGTCTTCCTGACCTTAATCTATGTCCTGGAATGTGTCTAAACTTACGGTCCTGATAAAAATCGTTTGTGCATTGTGCCTTTGTTTTCTGAAGGGGCTTTATCGCCTTGGACGGCTGCGACCTTAGAGCGACAGTTCTTAACAAGTCTGATGAATTTATCAGGGCTTACCTCTGTATGAAAATATGCTGTTCAAAAATAAAATATTAACTTGAAAGCCGACGTTAAATTCTCCGTTCATAGGTTATTAACTTGTTATTTTCAAGTTATAATATTAAAGAGAACCGCTAAGAGAGTTCTCACATCAGAATAAACGGTCGTGCCTATAAAGTCACGAGTGCTGGGCTGTTAATCAACCGTCAATAAATGCATCCACTCTGGGTCGTATGTACTTCTCTAACTGGCCAGCAGTTTATCCAGTGAGATTTACGGTTAATCTGGTTTAGTGCAAATCTGGAAGCCAGGTATTCTCCAAATTACGTACGTAATAAAGGTGACTCAAAAATTAGGAGTCGGCTTTTCAACACAGTCGTACTGGTTGTTAGTTTTCATCCCACTTAAGGGGCAAAAATAAACAAAGATCGGAAGACGAGGGGATGTAAGGCGAAAGGAAGGGAAGAAAGAAGAAAATGAGAACTGAAAAAGAGGGGTAGAATGCTAAATACAAAATAAATGCTAGTGATGAAGATAAAGAAATAATGAATGCAACAATTGACTAAGGACAAAATTGTCCTGATAACTGAGTAGTTTTATCTTTATGAAGATAATTACGTAGCTGAAATCGTAATTCAAGTAATAAGTGAGAGAAGGAGAAGGAAGTTATCTGTTTTTAAGTAATTTGGTTTGTCGTGGAAACACCTATTGATGGCACTTTAGCCTCCTTTGAGACTAAGCTCTAGACAGTAAAAGTGACAATCACAATTTAATAGCAAGAGTTTACTAGTGGGTATCACCGATTACTCAGCAGTCTTTTAGATCTATTTCTCACTGATATTTCAGCTGCCTCCATGGGAAATACAAGTGTGAGAGGGACCGTCCAACGAGCCAGTCGAAAGTCTATCTCAAGGCGGCAGTCCACAATAGGTTTCTTTCAGCTGCCGGTGGATATTTCCCATTTCTTCAGTCAGAACCACATACCTACCGCCAGTGGACATAAATGTTTTCCTCGGGAGAGCAGGATTTGTAGGTTCTCTGCCCTATGCTCCTTGCCACGGAGGCTCTTATCGGAGACCCAGCTGGCAAGGCTGCGGCCATTTGTGCTTAAGTTTCGAGGGATCAAGATATTACGAGGATCACCACCCACAGACCCTTCATCTGAATACTCCGGAGGGGCCTTGCGATGCAATTTCACCTTCGCTGACGAGTTGACGGGTCAGATAAAACTGCGTAAAATGCGCTATGGCAAACACAAGATTAACCACGGCAAGGTACGTAGATGTTGATCATTTGCCCTTTTGACTTTCTAGCTCTTAAGGTGGATCTAAGATGTTGAGCTGAGATGAAGTAGAACCTGTCACTGAGATAAGAGTTTTGTTAGTCTGACATTTCGGAGTCCAGCTCAAACACATCTTCAGAGACAGAATCAGATATGGGTACTTCGTACACATGTGTTATAACCTTGTGCGTTCCTGTGTCAGCACCGTATTACGTCCCCCAGTTACGTGTTAGGAATAGAAGGCAGAACAGGATAGCAGATAATACCTTACTGTCAGTTCTTATAGTACATCAGCTCTGTTTCCTGTGTGTCCGGCAGCTTGGTCTTCTATGCCCCTCAGCAGCGTGTGTTCTGTCATAGTCTCGGCCAACAGCGTTCCGTGCCTCTAGCAGCCGTGTCCAGGGTCGCTAAGAGCAGAATACCGGGTCGTCGGCGACGCCTCCAGCAACAGAGTGCCACCTTCGGCGGTGGCAACATATTAAAGGGCCAGTAGTCATTGCTCCCTATTGGCTCTGCACGAGTGGCCTGTACGAGCAGCCGTCATGCCTTCAGCCATCGTGTCCTTAGCGTGACATCCCGATAGCCGCAACCCGACCGCGGGGCAGTCTCGCTTTCGCGCGCTTCCTTTGCCCTGGCCTAATGTCCGCTCTCTGAAGGTCGCTTGTAAATGCATGAACCGGTCGCCAGTAAGGTCCCTTTGTTCTGGTGCCCTCAGGATTGCCCGAGTGATAACTTGCGTCCGGGCCGTCCCAACAATAGGGATTTGCAGTACTAATAGGATGCAGTCGCTATTCTACTGCATACCTATGGCAATTAACGGCTCCCCTTTCATCGAGGATGCCTGCCTTCTGATGCGTTAATTGCTTGATGGCAAGCATTCGCGTCAGCAATCTTTGAAATTTCATCACCCAATTTGGAGGTTGGCGTAATGATTGCCCGGCCAACAGACTCATTTGCATTGGTGTTGGGAAGTGTGCTCAACTGCGTGCTCACGAGTGGATAAGTGTTTTGGTCAAACTAAGTCTCAGCACCGAATATGGGGTTGGGTAGGTCAACGCACTTGTTAATAGACGGTGAGACTGGCAAACCACGAGGTAAGCTACTCGCGGCTCCCGTGATTGTCAATCCTCGCGAGGATATCGGCCTCATCGAACTTAGATAGGTGGCCGGATCACTTCGAATGGGCAGTGCCTTGAGAATTGGCTGTCGCGTGTTCGGCATTTCGGATCCAGAGCAGTCTTTCAGATTCTCTCACCTAGCTGAGTTGCTCACAACTGCACTATAACCGCTAAACGATTTCAAATTTATCTGGATCATTTGGGCTCCTTACCTGACGTCCAATGGTTGCCTCCGGTCCGTGTGCGACTCCATATTCAAGGTGTGCGAGAAGGCGGCTGACGACAATTCCGGTGAGCCAAACTCCAACATGGGTAACAAAATGTCAGGATATAATGACTCGCATGCCGGCTGTCAAGCAATCTGCCCACCAGAGGAAGATCATACTCGATGAAGGCGAACAATTAATTGGCATAGGTATGCGGTAGCATAGTGAGTGCATCCTAGAAATACTGAAACATCCTTTTTTACGTATTATCCATATCTGATGCTGTCTCTGAAGATATGTTCGAGATGGAATCCGAAACGTCAGACGGATAAACCTATTGACTGCGCGATCGCCTCTACTTCTTTTAAACTATTTCCTGAGACTCGCATTTTCGCTGTTTTCGGCAGCATTAAGTTGCATTTCCATCAAATATTTAGGCCTCACGCAACCTTAATGCTCTTTCATCAGCCTATTTAATAGGGACAAAGGGGCTAGGAGATTTTGACTTTGAATCTTTAACCGAAAAGAGCTAAAATATCGTCGGTAATTATGTCGTGTAAGACTACTCGAAACGATTGGTGACTCTGTAAGTAAATGAAAAGGCTTTAATGTGCTGTTGTCTATAATTCACTGGACTTTTGACGAGCAAAAGCCTAAAGCACGCCTACTTATTCCCAGTGTACCCTTGGAAAGCATGCGGATTGGTAAATATTTTGGTACATTTTGCATTGCAAATGGTTTGCGGTCATATAAATTCGTATTCGCTATTGCGGAAGGGATAGTCAACGACCTACTTATGATTTAGCGCATATTCATGTAGTTCTTGCCTGGGAAGGCCATACTAGCAACGTTGACTTTTAAAAAAATGGCCATTCCAGCTTCAAGTATTTTAAATTTTACCTTCTGGTTGTCCCTTGTATAGTTGCCTGAGAGGACTAAAGAATTTAATTCTAAGACAAAACGCAACGTACATGTTCCGTGCCGTAATCTGATTGGCGGACACTCCTTATAACAAAAGGAAACTGAGTCCGTGGCGTAAAGCTAAAGCAGTTGACTTGCTTCGCAATGTCAACAAGGTTCCATCAACATTTGCCAGCATTTGGGTTGGATTTTTCCTTGCCCAAGGACGGTAGTGGGTCTGAAATGGGCATTAATAGTCCGCATGTGTTGTCAGCCAAAATGAACAAACATTTTTTTACTTCTGGCCTTCATGTCTCTGGGTGCGGTGAATAGGAAATAAACAAGCGGTTCGTTAAAAATTTATAGTAACTGAGGCATAAGCTAATGGGTAGAGTATGCCTCCGACCGTATGAGGACGGAATACCTGCACCTAGTATGTCGGGCCTGAAATTGGAATGCCAATCAATTTTTACCGAGGTTCGACTAGCAAGTAGTCGGAGGCTGATGTGAAAAGGAACTCGTCGAATAACTTCTGCTGCCTTCCGTATGTCTTAAACACGCTCGTAGATTACTATTTTCTCATTCTATGACTGCCTGCTAATAAATACGAATTCGGTCATTCGCAACCGGTATAAACTTTAATTTTGTCATTACTGCCAACAAGTTCTCCTCTGTTAGTGCTGTGATTGTTTAGTTTTCAACTGCAATTGATCCAGGTGCTGTTAACAGGCGGATCCCAACCAGAAATAAATTTTCCAGATATTCTTCGATCTCGCCCCCTGGAATTCGAGTTGGGCTATGAGGAGTACGGTTCCGCCCCCAAGAATAACGGCTGTTTGTTTGGACAAGACGTGGCAGACGCAGAATTTGGCATGTTTACGTCGGCAGCCACTTCGGCAAAGATGAATATGACTAAGAAGAAGAAACCGAAGCATCAACGGAAGGCCCTCGTTCACCTCGATTCAGTCCTGAAGGCGTGTGGTCAACCGGTTTTTCTTACAGTACCGTTGATGACCTCTCATGGGCGACTTCATTGCATGCAAAGATTCGCGGTGTCCGAATACGCAGGAATATCCAAGAAGGACGTTAATGCAGCTAGTGAACCAGATGTCCTTCTGTCAATGCGTCTACAGTATAGGCACCTTCGCCCGAATCCAGTTACTACTAAGGGTGGGAACATTTCCCGTATCATTGTCATAATTCCTGGTAAATGTCTGGGAAGAAACTCAGGTACGCTGACATCTTTCGAGACATGCCCTTTTGTGAAGGTTTGCCAGAGTGCTTTCGTTTCTTAGCAGTAGTATCTTTATCGTACCAGGTTTGCTTGATTCAGTTGACATACTTGTGAAACAATTCGATTTTACCCACCCAATTCACGGTGCACGATGAGACTCGTAGCTTAATGTTTGAGCGCTGGCTGTGCAAATGCCTTCCCTGCTGTGTGGATTCGACTACCACCGAGGCCACGAGTCTTTTCGCAATTGAGTCAAGTGAATTAAGCAAATCTGTCAAACCTCCCCTAACAAATAAGCAACTACGGTAAATGAGCATTACGGCTAAATGCCTAAAATCGAGGAACCACATTTTTTCGTTTTATTTGCAGCTTTAATAAGTGGCTAACTTGTCGAAGAATGTACTTGCCAAGTTTTTCTATGCGGCATCTAATGTCTTAGGCCCCAACTGGAAAACTCTTATGAAATAATCTGTCAATGTCCATTGAATATAATCTTGTTTGTTTAAAGGCTGGATACTGATCTCCTGTCCAAGGCATTTGACGATTACTATTCGGCTGTTATGTTTACAAAGGATATAGATAATTCCTTTTGGATGTCCGTATTCAATGACAAATTAGAGCTGTTATGCGACCATAAACGTGGTAAGAGGAAGTAAAATAGCCTTGTTTCTCCAAAGTGGTTTTAGAGGTCAGGGGTTGCATAAATTGCTCTCTGTGAATCTCCCAACTTTCACACCATGTCATCCCGTTTTAAGTAGTTTCTCCTTTATGAGCTTATCCTTGGCTGGCGAAAAACGGTCTAAAAAGCTACATGGATGGAAATTGGACGGTGAAAAGTTTATGAAATGATAGTAACGAAAAGACAATTCCACGTATAATAAAACACGAAAAGGTGCCAACTGAAATTCGTTTTGCATCTCACTGTTGGAAAACCGAATGCGGCTATTCATCATCAGGTCGAAAATTCAAGACTGTCATCCATAACTGCGGACGTCACCTTGTCTCTCGAGTTCATTATCTGAGAATCAAGTGAATTATCAGTCCTGGTTGCGGTACATCTAACGTGGCCCATTTATTTGTTCAACGTAGAGAAACTCTATGATGCAAAGGGGAGACGTACTCATCCCGAAACCCGGTGGGATTGGCAACCCGCTACGTTGTGTTAGGAAATTATACGCGGTGATGTCAGTCTTATAAATGTGTGTGTTTCGGATTCGCCGGTTTTGAACATCAACAGGCATAGTTTAACTAGAAAATGTCAGTTCCAATAACTATATCCTGGCGATAGTTTCCGCTTAAGTGAAATGAACATCTTGGAAAATCTTCAAATAATGGGCAGACGACCTAACCTTCCAAAGGTCAACTTCAAACGACGCGTTCTATCGGAAAATCTAAGTATCATAAGAACGCATATTTACATTTTGGCAAAGAGTTCTGCCAATCGTCTTAGACCCCAATGACACACTCGAGCTCTTGATTGGACCTTTAATAAAAAAAAATTAAAAGTCTCTATTTCGACGGGCCTTCCGAATATATTTGTTAACAACGCCCCTGCATGGTTGCGAGTAATCCATTCTTACAAAAAGCAAGCGTGGTCCATTGGGCAACTGTCAGAACCATAAAATCAAATAATTTATATCTAGGTTTATATGGGTGCAGTGGAATATGCACTGGACTATGTCCAACCTCTGCAGTGAATAAAGTATTAATTAGCAAAACAAAGCATGCTTACTATTAAGAAATAAGTAGGTAATTATGCACAAGGGGTCAGTGATGGCATTATGCCAGCCTTACCGATAAATCTGTTAAAAAATACATCTTCGTAGTAGTCCATGCAAGCGAAACCACAGCCAGGCTGCTGAGTCTAGGTCCGATTCGACTGTATTATTCGACTGGTGCATGAAGAAGGGATGACAGACTGAGATCGACACAGGGGAACCCCTCCCCACAAAATGTCAGTGCTCCCCGCCCTATAGTAAATCGGATGCGTTAGAAGTCGTAGCTTAAACGGTTGCCTCCTGACTGTGTAACTCGGTCGGCGTCGAAATTAAAGAGTGTGTATGTGGAGTGACTGGACCCAGGCCTGGAAGTCGGTCTCATTAGCTTTCTCTTAATGTGACATTTAGGACACAACCGTGTACGTGAAATTTGAACCACAAATTGTATGAAAATATGGCACATTGTGCGGGACAGGTCACTTGTGGTACGCGTAGGCGGGTTGTTTGCCATTTTCGGCCTCCACTAGTCCGGTCTGTGTATTGCCACCAGGGCCAGCTGGTTGAGGGGAAAGATAGCGTGGCAGATGCTGTAGTAGTAGTGGTAGTAATAGGCTATCGTTATAAACTAATTTACGTGCAGACAAGCATCCTGGGCTTACCATACTGATAGAAACGAATAGGCGAGTTCCAGGTAGTAGTTCAGAAGTAGAACATGCGAACGCTGGAACGAAACGTTTATTTGCCTTACTTTTCGGATTATGGCTTAGGCCCATCATCAGAGATGACCGCGATACGGTGGGACAAATGGAGGACATCGTTGTTTGCGACGATCGAACTGTTAAGTCCACTTCCAAGTTTCGTCTTAATTCGTCCATATTTACTAAGTATCTTCGAGTAAGGAGTTCTGTAAAACATACTAAAAACGGCAACCTCATTCAGAAGCCATGACAGCCAAATGCTTACAGTGATTCGGCGAACCTGAAAAAGTTAGGGTTATGCCATGGACACTTGACATAGTCTTACATATCAAGCAAATTGGAACATTCATGTTTAAGCTGATAAGGGAAACCAAACAGCTCACAGAACCAGCACACTTTTTTGCAAATCGGAATCGAAGTCCTGAACTACAAATAAGCCCAGGGCGCTTTTCGCCTGTCATATTTCATGCTCGTATGCTAACCGTGCGATGTGGGTTTCTGATCAGCATGCTCAGTTGCGATTGAGTGAACAAAAAGCGTATCAACCACCAGTCTCAAATCAGACAAAATATGAATGCATTTTAATGCATCCTCGGTAAGCTCTTGTTTGGTGCAGAATAAACGTTCAGGATTCTGGCGCTAAGGACTTCTCGGTTAAACCGAAATAAATGACTATGGGCAACAGCAGCATACGCAAAGGTACGTAGATATCGCTAGCCCCATCATTGTGTCTTACGGGAGCGGTGT